GATGGCTTCACTACTGGAACCTTCATGCTGTAATCCATAGTAAGAAGAGTTTCCTATCATCTCTTCCATATTTCTTTGTGTGGCCTCCTTTATGGTGGCAAACTTCTTTAAATAATCTTTACATTCTTTTTTTACCTCATTAGGTACTTTTGCACATGGTCCCACATTGACAAGAGTGCAAGCTAGATGATCCTTCAACCTCTTGACGCCACCAGTTATGTGTTTCTCACAGAAATTAAATTTCATGTAAACATATCCCTTCTTTGTACCTTCGTCTAACACTTCAACTTGAGTTCCATATTTCCATGCAGGATCTTTCCTTCTTGTGTCACTAGTCATGCTAATAATTTATAGAAATATTAAATAATCAACATAAAAAATCAACAATATGACAACATGAATACAACAATATACTGGTCTGCCGGGGGTCCAAGGGGGTGCTGCCCCCTGGCGGTGTTCGACCTGTATGAAAAGATACCAAGCGGTACCTAGCAATACCTAGCAAGACCGAGCATGTACTAAGCAGACGAATGAAAGAAAGCCGAATCAGGAGTTATTCAAGCTTTCGTTACTGCACATCAAAGTCAACGCCCACAATATCGCTCACCTGCTCTTCCGACCTAATCGATGCCTAAACGTTTCCTGCACTCACAACTTCGGCTTCGTTTTCTGCATTCGAAACCGTTATTGCTTTCGGCTTCATTTCATATGTCGTCTCCTTCCGGCTTCGTCTCCTGCACTCACGGCTTCGTCTCCTTCCCTCACGGCTTCGTCTCTTTCCCTCACGACTTCGCCTCCAGTTCGCCTTTCAATTTTCAAATTAAATATGTCCTTAATTAACTCCCTCCCAATTATAATAAAAACTTTCCTTAACAAATTTCGCTTGATTCTCTATCTTTTCTTCTCTTCCTCCCTTCCCCTCCATCACCGGCCAAGGGTTCCCTTCACTCTCTCTCGGTCGAACCACCTTCCCACCCCATCTAGCCGCCGGCCAACCACCACCCCGACCACCTCTCCTACTCAGCTATTTACACCTCCACACTACCACATCTCCAAACACTAACCTAGCCTAGCCGTCGGCCATAAGCCTTTTCCCCTTTCCGCCCACATTCAAAACCCCCTCTTTACTACTTACCTTTTTCTTCCCAACCCATTTGGAAAGTCTTAAAATTCAAATTTTGATGTAGGCAAGGGGGTGGGGGTCAAATCATCTTGATCCTGTTGTCCTTGCATTGTTTGGTATTTCTCTGTTTGGAGCCTTGGCTGCCCTCGGGTGGCTTTGGTTGCTTGGTTTTGAGCAAAAAAAATTGGGTTCTAGTTGGTTCTAGCTCATTAAAATTTGAGTTGTGGGTTAGCTCATTATGAGTTGAAGTTTAATTCATTAATTGGTGTAGAATTCAGCTCATAATGTTGTCTTATCCCCTTTGTCTTCTTGGTTTTCCCCTGGCTGTTGTTGTTCCCGTGATTTCCCCCTGGTCTTCTCGGTTTTCACCTGGCTGTTGCTGTTCCCGAGAAATAAAGATGGGGTTCCGCCCCCTTTTTCTCTGGTCTCCTCGATTTCTGTTGGTTATGTCCCTTATGTTTTGGATGGAGATGAATTTGGCTGATTTTTTGGATGTCTTTTCAGCTGTTGTTTGGAATGTCCCTTGGCCTTTCATTTCCTATTTTCTGTGCATTTTTTGGGGGCTATTTTGGTGTGTTTTTTGTGCAGTTTTTTAGGGTTGTTGTGGTGTCTTTTGGCCTTCCTCTTTTCCAATTTATGAGGGTTGTTTTGAGGGCTTTTGGGCTGCTTCTTCCCTCCTATATATATGATTGTTTTGGGCTGTTTTAAAGAGTTGATGAAAGTAATTTTTGGAAGATAACCTTTGGATTTTGCTTGATAGCTTGCGAGCTATGTATTCCTTTCTCCTTCTTCTAGGATAACTTGCGAGTTATGCCTTCTTTGTCTCGGTTTCTAATCTCCTTCTTCTATCCGCAAGTCCGATATCACTTGTATCTTTCTTCTCAACGAATGGCAACGCAAGTTTAAGTGTTTAAGGTGTCTTTATTTTCTAAGTTTGTAAGCGTCCTTTGTTATAAGTGTCATTTTATAATATTAAAGTTTATTTTTTTGTATTTTGCAAGGTTGTGAAAATCGGACCGGACAATGAACCGGTAGAGAGAGCGGTTCATGGTTCGACCGGTTCTCAATAACTTAAAATTTAGATAATATTATTTCATCATAAAAAGCTTATTTAAAAAATATATTTTAAAATGAGTAGTATATGTTATAAACTTAAAAGTTGAGAAGAAAGACATAGGAGCTTTAGTTTTTTTAGTCCCACATCACTTGGGAGAGTTTCTCTTGGTAACGCTTTTATTTTATATTAGCTTTTGAGCTTGGAAGAAGTAGTACATCATGTGAAAAGATGAATCTTCATGAAATGCTTGTTTAGAATTTTATAATTTAAAATTAAGCATTTTAAATATGAAATTAAATTACAAATATTTTTTAATGTTACAAATAAGTTATTTCAAATTTAAATTTAAAAAATGCAAAAGTTGAACCGGCCGGTTCAAGAGAACCGTGACCGGTTTACTGGTTGAACCGACGGTTTTTGACAAAACCGGCCGGTTTGATGCTAAGACGGTTCTTTGGTTGAACCGAACCGGACTTCAGACTAGTTCACGGTTGAACCGATCGGACCTGCCGGTCCGGTCCGATTTTTAAAACATTGGTATTTTGTCTAGTTTTTGAGAATTTCATGTAATTTATTTTATCCTAGGAAAGTTTAGTCTTTGCTCTTCCCAAATTTTTGCTTGCAACAAATTTTCAATCAATTTTAAATTTAAATTAATTCCTAAAATAGAACCCTATTTTGGGAAAGTCTCCTAAATCCAAAGTCAAATCAATTTAAAATTGAAATTGATTAAAATTACTTTCCTCTTCTACAATGGTTTGATTTAGCAATTCTTAAAACACCTCTCCTAACACCGAACCGGACTTCAGACTAGTTCACGGTTGAACCGATCGGACCGGCCGATCCGGTCCGGTTTTTAAAACATTGGTATTTTGTCTAGTTTTTGAGAATTTCATGTAATTTATTTTATCCTAGGAAAGTTTAGTCTTTGCTCTTCCCAAATTTTTGCTTGCATCAAATTTTCAATCAATTTTAAATTTAAATTAATTCCTAAAATAGAATCCTATTTTAGGAAAGTCTCCTAAATCCAAAGTCAAATCAATTTAAAATTGAAATTGATTAAATTTACTTTCCTCTTCTACAAGGGCTTGATTTAGCAATTCTTAAAACACCTCTCCTAACATCAAACCGGCAGCCCACATCCAAACCCTAGCCCCCCCCCTCCCTTGAATCCCTCCACCAAAAAGCATTCAATCAAAGCCTTTACTAATTTAGCATTTATATTTTAGGTAATACATTTAATTCATATTCAAATCAATTTGAATTTAAATTTGTTTCCGAAAATAAGAAGTTCTATTTTACGTAAGTTCCTAAAGTTAATCCAATTTAAATTTCAAATTTTCTTCCTGATTAATTACAATTATTTAAGGAAGTTTTCTTTCATGCTATCAATGAATCAAATCTGAAATTAATAGATTAATTGATTCCTAAACCCAAATATATTGAACCTAGACACCTCTTTCCCCCACTCTCTTGGCTGGCCTCATGCCCCTACTCCCAATTAATTCTCTTTCCAAACTTGGGCACAAATCGAAGGGAATTAATTCCAGATTTCCCTCCACTGCTGTCCACACAATTCCCCACCATATCCACCCAGCTCTCATGCATCCATAAGGTGGAAACCCTGAAATTCTCCTCTCCAACATGCTGTCCAGATTTCTGGGCAGGTTCTATATGCTGTCCTGAATTTCATAACCTAGAAAACTGCTGTCTATAGTTTTCAGATTGCTGTCCAAGACATTCCTGCAGGACGAGCTGCTGTCCTGCTCTCCAGAAACCTCCTACTTGCTGTCTCGAAGGTTTCCATCTGCTGTCCAGAGATTTCATCAGGTTACTAGTGCCATTTCGCCAACTGGAAAACTCCCATTTGCTGCCCAAAAGACCCCACATGACTGTCCACTCGCGAGACTTATTCGAGATCAGCCACCAAACTCCGGAACTTCCTCCTTGCATTGCAAATCATACTTAAGAACTCGACAACGGTGAACTCTTCCTTAAGTCTCCTATCTTCCTAGTTTACTTGTCAATTGTGGTTATATTTTGATTCACGAAGATCATATTAATTCTCTTCCACTAAAGCTTAGTGATCTATAGAGTTGAGTGAGGGATCCTTGCATAGTGACAAGTTTTATTGTTAACATAGATATTTCTCGTTGAAAACCTTCCACACATGCAACGTTAGAGTAATTAACTGTTTTAAGATCTTAACCTCTATGCATGTGATTTGGCCTAAACTTATTTTATCGTCTTATTGTTTTATCTTATCGTTTAAATCAATATAAGTTTTGCTTATTATTATTCTCTAAAATTTAAGCGTGCTAAAATCCTGAATCAATATCACCTAAGCATTATAGTCCTACATCAGTACTAATGTGGGAGAATGAGGAGTCCGCAAAAGATGCAAGAGTATGAGAGAGGTGTCAAATGATTTAATAAGGCATCAAGAGACTTCTACATGCACACAAGAGAAGGAGAATTTTGCAAGTTATGTGAGTTTCCTAGACATTGGATATGTCATAAATGAAAGAATCACATGAAGCTCATGGAGGTATGAGAGACAAGTACAAGGCCTGGACAGGGGTTATGGTTTTTTTTTTTTTTTTTTTTTTTTTTAATCATAGATTATGCTTAGGCTTAATGAATATGAGCCTCTCATATAGTCAAATCACCCGTTCTTGTAAAGAGATTACAAATATCTTTAGGATAAGGACTAATCGTGAGATTATAAATATCTTTAAGAAATATCTTAAGGCTGAATAACAATTTTTAAGGATAGAAAGCTAAAGCAGTTATCTTCATGCCAGAACAAGAAAATAATACCATCATGTTTATTGCCATTCACAAAGATAATATTTGAATGATTAGTGCCTCCTTGCAGCTTATAGACTCGAACCTGTAGGGTCAATTAATTAGGAAAAAGGCAAGAAAAACTGTTACAACATTGCTAATTTATGGTTATTCAGGCTTCAGGCAATTGGCGCTATTGGAAAATGTTCTTACAAGACCAAACTCATTCCCGACAGCTAAACTCATATTTAAGAAACAGAAGTCCAATGCTGATACCGATCTGCTTTGGTCATCCGCTTTAATATTTGCGACCTGCATAATAAAGCCTAAAACTAAATTTTCAATATAATCTGAGAGGCAAGTATTTTAGGAACAAATCACATTGTTCTGACCTTATCATCTAAAACTAGCATTTGTGCTAGAATGGGATGTGTAGCATCCCATATTCTAACAGATCCATCTTGATAACCTGCTATATATAGTCTATCAATGCCATTGTCTTCAGAAACGGTTGATTCACTTGGGACTCCACCAGTCAAAGGCCACTTTGTACCATTCAACAAAGTTGGTTTTATATTTCCCTTAGCAAAGGCTTTCTACAAAGGCAGAATAGGGAGGGAGGGAGAGAGAGAGAGAGAGAGAGAGAGAGAGAGAGAGAGAAAAGTTGAAGAAATTATCCAAAAAAACTAAGATTGGCGTTTCCATAATTTACTGAAAATTTTTTATATAATACCTTTAATAAAGCCTTAGAAGAGTTCTGGTCCATTGGTAGTGAAAATAGCTTTGCAACAGTAATGAGTGGATCGATAGTTGGTACTACAACAGGAAACTTTCCTGCCCAAGCACGAGCATCACCCTCTGTAGATTTCAGCAAGGAAAGAGCAGCATCATCATAGACATTTATTTCACCAGGGTTAGTTAATATGAAAAGTGCAGCAGTAGAGTTAAGATTTGCAGGTCCAGCATTAGGCACTAAAATCATATCTGCAAAGGATCCGTTAAGATTTAGCTCTGCATCCGATGTGCATCTTACGGTATCTATGCCAGTGGTCCATTCAAGATTCAGAACCTGGAAGACAAGATAATTATCAAGACGATTACGTAGAATCTGGGCTAATAAAAATTTAGGTTTCTAAACTAATGTTTTGATCCAACTTTCAAGAAAAAAATGGGAAATAACAATTATCATCGCCATTAGCCATATTCCAATCATTAGGGGTCAGCTATTTGAATCCTGAATATTATTTCCTAATCAGTCTAGTATGATGTGTAAAATTGATTCTACTTTTGTGCAACTTCAATTGAAGTTTCATTTAATCTACTCCCTTTTCCTTCTTAATCTTTCAGAATAATTCTATCTACTCAACTTATATGCCCTTCATTCTGACACTAAAATTACAAAATTGAGTATTTTTTTTATATAAATTCAGTCCGTACTATTTAATTTGTAAGTGCATATTATTGTCCTTATTTATCAGTTTGTTATTTGCCAAATGTAAAATACTCATTTGAAATTTTTGGCATGCTTTTCAATACTTTAAGAATTAAATACTCCAAGAATCATAGCTACTATAAATAAATAATAATAAACTTTAGATTGTAATTAAAAATGGTTGATGATGAACTAAAGATAAGGTTTTTTTTTTTTTGGGGGCATCTTCTCTAGGGATTAGTTTTTTGTTCCCTTTCTCTTAACTATAAGGTTCTGGTGGATGGGGGACTCTTCTAAGGCGATTAAAAGAGTAAAACATAATCAGGTGGAGATAACTCAAATAGGAGAAGTATAGAGTGTTTGAATGGTACGCCAAAACTTCTTGTAATATATCCAGAATAGAAACTAAATCTTCTACCGAATGGTTCTTCCCCTTCATAACTCCAAATCCAACGAAGTGTTACTTGATTTGTAGGTGAGGATATCTACATTAACTCTGGAGAAAATGTTAATGACGGTAAAAAATATAGTGGATCAAATGTTCTCTGGAAATGGTGCATGTCAGTTATGTCCAAAACTGACCAAGGTTGGGAATTTTGTTATAGATTTCCATGGATTAGCTGAAATTCATAAATTTTACTTGGAACAACTCATGGACAACCTCTAGGTAGGATATGGAATTTCTTAGATTTTTTTTCCTTTTTTTATTTTTTATTTTTTTGGTGGAGTTTGATCTTTTCTTGTGATTTGTTTGTTGGCTAGAAACTGGCTACATAAATGAAACAACAAACATGAAATATAAATAGGGCTAATTGTTCTCTAGAATTTTGACTAGAACACCAAATAAATTTAGGATTACTGAATCATAAGATGAATACAAAATATCAAGAGATTTTGGTGGGGTTTGGAGGAGTTTAGGTTGGTCAAATGCTTCCAAGAGTGAAACTAGTCCAGCAATTCCAGTAAACCTAGCCAACTTTAACAATGGGGAATTCACTTGGATTAAGAGCGATGGAAGGGGATTTGGGTTTTTCTGAGGTTAAGTACAAATGAAAGAACACAATGACAGAAGATTTCTGTAAAGAAAATTGATGAAAATTAAAACCCTACTCACCAAAGTAAAGGTTCAAGAGGATCTCCCAATCACCTTGCGTTGGCAAGCCACCAAAAACAATGAATATTTCTCTCCAAAAACGTGTAAGCAACAAATCTCTCCTTCATTTCAATCTAAGAAAGTTTTATACAACTGAAGCAACATGAAGAGACACATCACTTCATTTAAATTCATAACAAATAGGGAAAAAAAGGAGGGAGGGGGTTGGCCCTTGTTTGGGCACTAGAACCCACCTATAACCAACTCTTTCTCTCATGCACACTAGTCTAGTCCCTTTGCATCCTTTTTCATCACTTGGACTAACCTATCAAGCACTAACAAAGCAAATTACACATATTGATCACTAGTAAAGCAAATTACAACACTATTTAATCCACACAACACTTAATAACAACATAACATGGAACAAAATAAAACATAATACAAAATGATGTAAATCTTCATGGTTTCATAGCTTGAGTTTCACGTGCTCTTATTTTCTCTAGTAATAGGATAATGATGTGGGCAAATTGCTGATTTTTAATTTCCAAAAAAAGTTGCTCCTTTGGTTTGATATTTGGGCATTTAATGGTGGGCTGAATTTCTCTTATTGGGCTTGGCCCAATTTCCCTTTCTTTGGTTGCTTGGTGTCTTGGTTATCTCGGCAGAAGTGGGGTTCTGTTGGTTGCTTCGGTTTGTTGCTTGGGAGCTGGCTGTTGGTGTTCTGACTGACTGATTTTTGGGTTGGCCGTTGGTTTCCTGACTATTTAGTTCCTGGGCTGGTCGTGCCTCTCTCTTGGGTATTTGTATTCTTTTTCCCTATTTATAGGGGGGTTGTTTGCTGCTATTTTTAGATGATTTTTGGAGATAGAATATTTGGAATATATAATCTGCGGGCTTATGGTGCACAGACACAGACACGGCGACACGGACACGACACGACACGGACACGTCACACGGCTTTTTTTAAAAATATAGGACACGGGTACGGCGCGGACAAGGCAATACATTTTTATATAGTGTATATATATTAATATAATATCATATTAAAAATGAAAAACAATAATAAATGAATGACATGATAACTTGTCTAGCTTATAATATAAAATATTTAGTACAAAATATCTAGTATAACCACAAAAATATAAGAAATAATCACTTACTACAACATCAAGCATTCAAGCTTCAACTACTACGATTAGCTTTAGAGGTTTGTTTTTGGCCTTCAATATCATCATCATTGAATATTACTACTTTCAACTCTGGTTCAACAAGAGAAAGATTTGTAATTGTGCAAAAAGAGAGGAGATGAAAATACCTTCACTGCCAAAGAGAAATGAAAATGAGAATATTCGATGAATGGGTATTAAATGCAGACGTTGATTTGGTGTTGTGGATATGAAATAAGAAATTTAATTTAAATCTCGCCAAATATAAGAAATTATATTTTTAAAAATTATAAAATAATTAAGGATACGCGTGTCGGACACGCGTGTCCAATTTGTTTTTAATATTTTTTTAATCGGACACGTTTTCGGCGTGTCTGACACGTGTCGGAGGAGTGTCGGACGAGTGTCATGTCGGACACTGCACGCCTCTTTGAGGAGAAGTGTCGGTGCATCATAGTCTGCGGGTTATCTAGCTTGGGAGATATCTTCCTCCACCCTACTTCTACTTGGACTTCTAATCTCTTTCTTCTCTCCACGGTATCCCTTCCAATTGTATCCTTCTTCTCTAAACTTTATTAATAGCAAGTTGGTTGTGTTGTTTACAAGTTGAAAGTAGTGTTGAATTTTGTATTTGAAGTTGTTTGATGTATTCTACAAAATAAGAGCACCAGATCAATCTATCTCTATTAAAAAAGACCTCCAAGCCCCCATTGACGCTGATATTGTTCTTTAAGGATCTATGATGAAACCTTTGTACAATAATAATGTGATACGTCTTTGAAGTAAAAACAACAAAATAGATAGAAGAAAAATGCCGGAATACAAATATGGGGGCTGATTTTTTATTACTTCTTCAACAATAATGAAATATAAAATTAATCTACTATTCAAGAGGTAGATCGGCTCTCCCACAAGCCCTTCTAGGAAACTCACACCAAACCCTAGAAAATAAACTCAGCGCATATATCATGATAACCCAAAACAAAACTCTAGCCCTCACACACAATAAACACAAGTGGAACATTCCTAAACAACATAAACACAATTAAAAAATCTTCCTAAACAATTAAAACAATTTGAAACAGCGTAAACATAATTATGAAACCCTCCTATACAACATAAATACAATTAGGAAACCTTCCCTATTTATAGGGGGGTTGTTTGCTGCTATTTTTAGATGATTTTTGGAGATGAATATTTGGAATATATAATCCGCGGGTTATCTAGCTTGGGAGATATCTTCCTCTACCCTACTTCTACTTCGTCTTGGACTTCTAATCTCTTTCTTCTCTCCACGGTATCCCTTCCAATTGTATCATTCTTCTCTAAACTTTATTAATAGCAAGTTGGTTGTGTTGTTTACAAGTTGAAAGTAGTGTTGAATTTTGTATTTGAAGTTGTTTGATGTATTCTACAAAATAAGAGCATCAGATCAATCTATCTCTGTTAAAGAAGACCTCCAAGCCCCCATTGATGCTGATATTGTTCTTTAAGGATCTATGATGAAACCTTTCTACAATAATAATGTGATACGTCTTGGAAGTAAAAAAAACAAAATAAATAGAAGAAAATTGTAGGAATTTAAATTTGGGGGCTGATTTTTTATTACTTCTTCAACAATAATGAAATATACAATTGATCTACTATTCAAGAGGCAGATCAGCTCTCCCACAAGCCCTTCTAGGAAACTCACACAAAACCCTAGAAAATAAACTCAGCGCATATATGATGATAACCCTAAACAAAACTCTAGCCCTCACACACAATAAACACAAGTGGAACCTTCCTAAACAACATAACACAATTAGAAAATCTTCCTAAACAATTAAAACAATCTGAAACAACGCAAACATAATTAGGAAACCCTCCTATACAACATAAACACAATTAGGAAACCTTACCTATTTATAGGGGGGTTGTTTGCTGCTATTTTTAGATGATTTTTTGAGATGAATATTTGGAATATATAATATGTGAGTTATCTAGCTTGGGAGCTATCTTCCTCTACCTTACCTCTACTTCATCTTGGACTTCTAATATCTTTCTTCTCTCCACGGTATCACTTCCAATTGTATCCTTCTTCTCTAAACTTTATAAATAGCAAGTTGGTTGTGTTGTTTACAAGTTAAAAGTAGTGTTGAATTTTGTATTAGAAGTTGTTTGATGTATTCTACAAAATAAGAGCACCAGATCAATCTATCTCTGTTAAAGAAGACCTCCAAGCCCCCATTAACGTTGATATTGTTCTTTAAAGATCTATGATGAAACCTTTCTACAATAATAATGTGATCCGTCTTGGAAGTAAAAACTGTTAAGAAAGTTGCTTTTTGTATGTTTTACATTCTTGCAACTTATATAGTTTTGATGATTCCAAA